TTGAATTTCATTTCAAATAAAGTTGAATACCCAAGTTAAAAAGTCTAAGCACAAATAGCATTCGGATTGAACTCTTCACATTGAAACTTCGATTAAGAGTTTTACAATCGGATTAAGTTCGAATTCATACTTGGATGATTTGGAAAAAAAAAACCAAATTCGGATGGTTTGGAAATTATTTTCTAAACCCAAATAATATTAAAAATATCAATCACTCTGGCATATTTGACTTAAAAACTACCAGAGTTTGACAAATAGTTTCAAAATCACTTGAGTTTGATAAAAAAAAAAANTAAATGACATTTTCTAGAATGTGTTATCGAATGATAAACAAACCAATCATAGTGGTTTGCTTAGGAACAAGTTAAGAAGTATTTGTTATTTGTAGAAAGTTTAGATTGTGTTGAAGCATAACTCTGATATCACATGTTGATTTTGCACAACAGATAATTAATACAAATAATACTTGTTGAAAGATAAGAATTTAAAAATAATAAAATAATAAAAATATGACACAAAGATATTTAATACAACATACCCACTTTAGTACACCATACCTACATCTACGGACTAAAAACTTNCATACCAAGAAATAATATTTCGGTATTGAAACTGAACACCCAAAAGAAAGACGGTGATTGTCAGGAATTTGATGCTACATTAACATTATTTATCGATAAACCTAGAATTAGATGATGCGAATTACGTAGAACATTTCTAAAAACTGCCCCTATTTCGGTCATGCACAATTCACATGGCGGAGATGAAACTTTGCTGCGATTCTTTTATTGTTATTGTTATTGTTTCTTGCTGTTTTGATTTGGGCTATGAATCATTCTTTCTATGTTTTGCTGCTTCTGTTTGTATTTTGATGTCATTTTTCATCCCTTTTATTGCTTTTCTCGTTGCCTTTNCAGATTCACATATTGATTACCTAATAGACTCTTATTTATAATAATTTGAGAGTTTGAGTCAAATTCTAACATATTGTATGAGCATTGTAAGTCATAGAGGAAAATTTAATATATTGGGCTGGTTTGGAGAGGACCGAAAACTTCAGTGTTTTTTTTTGTTTCAAAAGAAACCCAAGTTTATTGGACAATTTTTTCATTAATTTANAGATGACATTTACTAGAATGTGTTATCGAATGATAAACAAACCAATCATAGTGGTTTGCTTAGGAACAAGTTTAAGAAGTATTTGTTATTTGTAGAAAGTTTAGATTGTGTTGAAGCATAACTCTGATATCACATGTTNTTGTAAATGTGTTGTTCATCTTTTTAGGACAAATTGCATTTTAACCCTCTCAATTAGGTCCGTATCTCATATTATCCGGTTATTTGTATTGTTTCTCCAACTATGATCGTCCGTTACATGTAAATCACTTATCAATGAGTCAAGATGGGCCAGCCCACTAGAAGAAAAAAAATCTAGGCCCATGGCCTATAGCACTAAATATAATTTTATTTTTCTGAAACTAAATATTTAAATAGATCATTAAAATTAAGGGGAATACACATGTTATCAGATCCATATAATTCCACTCAATGTCAAATCATCCAACATTAATATAGATGAGACTCACCGTTTACTAATGGACCCCTCATCCATACAAGATGTTTATCATTGAGTTAAATTAAGAGAAAGTATAATGGAGAGGATTTCAATCACCTGTCATCGGACTTTCCACAAATGTGAAAGTGTGGAATTGTCAAAATTTTGTTGAAAAACCAGAAAGCCAAGTCTTGCCATGAACGCCTAATCCAATTTGTTCCCATTTCACTTTATTCGCATGAGCTGAGGACTTGCTGGAAAACCTGGACTAGCTCTTGATAAGAAGAACTTGGGTATCAAGACTTTGAACGAGAGAGCATATAGAATTGTTACAAAGAGAGCATACAGAATTTTCTAAATGACATTTTCTAGAATGTGTTATCGAATGATAAACAAACCAATCATAGTGGTTTGCTTAGGAACAAGTTAAGAAGTATTTGTTATTTGTAGAAAGTTTAGATTGTGTTGAAGCATAACTCTGATATCACATGTTGATTTTGCACAACAGATAATTAATACAAATAATACTTGTTGAAAGATAAGAATTTAAAAATAATAAAATAATAAAAATATGACACAAAGATATTTAATACAACATACCCACTTTAGTACACCATACCTACATCTACGGACTAAAAACTTACACCGATATATTATTTATTTGAAAACTAATCATCAGCTAACTAATTATATAATACACACCCCTATTTATAGGGATAAAATATTATAACCCAAATTTATTCAAATATAACTTGATTTTTATGTTTCCTATCACATGTCTAATATATATAATCATGCTATATTAAAACTCTTCTAATATAATTTTATTTCATATCAGATTCACATATTGATTACCTAATAGATTCTTATTTATAATAATTTGAGAGTTTGAGTCAAATTCTAACATATTGTATGAGCATTGTAGGTCATAGAGGAAAATTTAATATATTGGGCTGGTTTGGAGAGGACCGAAAACTTCAATTTTTTTTTTTGTTTCAAAAGAAACCCAAGTTTATTGGACAATTTTTTCATTAATTTATTGGGCAAAAATAACTTTTATAAACAATAAGAAAAAATTGATAAATGAGACTTATTCACGGGCTTCTAAGGTAAAGTCAACTTTTTCGAAAACACTTTAAACGATTTTAAGAGTTTGACATGAGTTATTACTAGTATATAAATATAGATAGATATGAGAGAGAGATAATTTTATGTCAGTCGCACTCCTAAAATTTAAGAGTTGTTAGTTTTCAAATTTGTTATAATTAAATATAACTAATGAAGGTATTTTAAATAATAGAGATTAAAATAGACTTATTATTAAACAAGTTTTTTTAATAGACTTATTATAAATCCAAAAAGGAGTTTGAGCTCCAAATTTCTCATATTAATGTTAAGGGTTTTTTGGGTGTAAGTACCATTTTTTAGAATTATTTGAACAAAAGTATATGGATAAGTTGTTTATTATATTAAGTATAATTCTTATAAAATTTTTTGGGTTTAGATACAAAATTCAAATGAATTAAATTTTTTTTTACCNACTAAATAAATCCAAAAAGGAGTTTGAGCTCCAAATTTCTCATATTAATGTTAAGGGTTTTTGGGGTGTAAGTACCATTTTTTAGAATTATTTGAACAAAAGTATATGGATAAGTTGTTTATTATATTAAGTATAATTCTTATAAAATTTTTTGGGTTTAGATACAAAATTCAAATGAATTAAATTTTTTTTTACCTAGACACCATTTCTTAAATTATGCAGACATCATTGACAATTATTTAAGGAAATAAATATATAAAGATTAACAATAGTAATGAAAAATAAAATAGGGGCATTAATGATAAANATTTTTTTTTACCTAGACACCATTTCTTAAATTATGCAGACATCATTGACAATTATTTAAGGAAACAAATATATAAAGATTAACAATAGTAATGAAAAATAAAATAGGGGCATTAATGATAAAAATCCTTATTCTTCGACAACAAGATTCTATGGCAATGAGATTTCATTAGAATGCCCACAAATTATATGTGAATAAACATTGAATTTTTTCAAAAAAAAAAAAAGAGAATTAGCCAAAATTTTTTGTTAAATATTATGTATTGTTCGTTGTTGGGATGTAGAAAAAAAAAAGAACTTCTTTATTTTTATTTAATGGGTGTTACTGTTTTTTAATGAGTGTAACTGTTTTTTTTAATGGGTGTAACTATTTTTTTTAATAGGTGTAACAATCACAGTCTCATGCAATTGTTAAAACATGATGGTGTAACAATGCATCGATACTAAATGGTGCAACTATTTAGTTTATGTAAACAATTGAATGATAAATTGAATTGATGTCATAATTTTATGTAATTATTTTGTATAATTGTTTAGTGTATTATAGGACAATTGTAACTGATTGATGTAATTATGTTGTTGTAATATTAATATAAATAGATTAAGAGAAAATACGGGGAGAGAGGGAGAAAAATTGTTAGAGAAAATAGTAATGTTACACTGATTAAATTTTAAGACCAAATTAAGAGTTCAAATAACATGACAACTGATTTGAGTTTTTTTTATTTGGTATCATGTTATTTGGACCCCAATAAAAACTACANGGGAGAGAGGGAGAAAAATTGTTAGAGAAAATAGTAATGTTACACTGATTAAATTTTAAGACCAAATTAAGAGTCCAAATAATATGACAGTTGATTTGAGTTTTTTTTATTTGGTATCATGTTATTTGGACCCCAATAAAAACTACAAATAATATACTGTCATGTCATTTGAGTCCAAAATTTAATCAACGTAGCATTACTGTAGAAAAAATATGCCTCTATTTTACCTCTCATTGCTTCATTGCAGTCAAAATATATAGAAGAAATACAAAGGNTGATCAACATAACATTACTGTAGAAAAAATATGCCTCTATTTTACCTCTCATTGCTTCATTGTAGTCAAAATATATGGAAGAAATACAAATGATTTCAACCCATCAACTATTTATTGAATGACAATATTATTAATTTTTAAAAATATNTAATCAACGTAGCATTACTGTAGAAAAAATATGCCTCTATTTTACCTCTCATTGCTTCATTGCAGTCAAAATATATAGAAGAAATACAAAGGATTTCAACCCATCAACTATTTATTGAATGACAATATTATTAATTTTTAAAAATATGAACTTTAATCTAAATAAGATTTTGTATTATATTTTTATTCAAATAAAAAATTAATCCGACTTCCAAATCCCCAATAATGTTAATACCAAGGGCCGCCCTGAGTAATATTTATTACCATGGAAAACAGTCGCCCACAAAATGATCATGAGCATGATGATGTATGATAACATGACATGATATGACATACATGCTGATACGTATTAGGGAACAATAAAAGATGGGAGTGAGGTGAGGAGAGAAGAGGATTTGACTTAATTTTGATAGAAATAGAAGAGAAAGAAAGGACAAGAAACAACAGAAAGAAAGAAGGAATGAAGAAGAAAATTTAATCCGATCCAATGCTGTTTTGACGTCCACAAGATCACACCTCACTCTCTCTCCTACGTTCTCTCTAAAAACACAGCAAACTACAGCTAACTGTTCCTCTTTTTACCCAAATAGATTGAAGAAGACGGGTTTGCACCAGAAAGGATTATAGTGAAACGACAAAACCCTAAAAGCTGTACAAACTATATATATTGGTTTATGTATGAATATGGTTGTGTGTGGTGCGAAGAAAGAGCAAAGTGTTGAATAAGAGTGAGTTACAGTTACAGTGTGTGGTTCGATCGCAATACAGGGGCTTTTAGAGACTTACTCCCACTGTTCAATTCGAACTCTTCTGGTAAGTCCTCAAAAAAACTATTTTTCTTAGTTTTTCTATTTTCTACTAGAAAACCCTAAAGATAGTCACTTGTTTGAACATTGGATCGAGTTTTTTGTATTTATTTAGACGGTATAGGGTTCGGTCGAGTGGGTTTTGTTTGTTCTTAATGGTCTTAATTTATATGTTTTTAATTATTGTTTTTTTAGTTCGAATAATTTTTCTTTTCAGCTTAATTCAGGCGTTTTTGGCTTAAAACTAAACTTTTTTGTGTTGGGTGTTGTGCGAAACGGGCATTTTATGGTTTCTATGAGTATGTAAGTTCTTGATTTGATGCTTTTGAAAAACGTCTTGGGTTAGTGTTCTGGAGCATTGAAAGTTTCCGAGGCTGCGTTTGATAGTCAAAGTTTGATTTGTTCGTTTGTTGGCTTTTTGTTGAATGGTTCAATGTAAATTTGACCGAAAAGTTCAAATATGCAGAAATTCATGTGGAAGCAGGCTGAAGATTGTCCTTTACACGGAGTTAAGGCAATTCTAGGATGTTCAGAACCGAAGCTTCTTCCTTGTTTTTGGTTTTCTTTGATTTTCGACTTGGGTTTGATAAAACTCAACACCGTATGCTGAGGCCAAAAGGTTTCCCCTTTTACTTGGTGCACATTGAGGACTTTGGAATGTCTACCCTCGATTGTGAATATAAATTGGTTACTCGATTGATTGATAGTTGGGGCTTTCCACGCGTTGTTGTTTAAATTGGTGTATTCAGATCTTGTGGTGTTGACCGCCAGATTTATGTCATTCTAGATAGTGTTTGTACTTGAATAAGTTTTTGTAGATTGTGTTTTTCTCAAAAAATGGTGCCGTCAGGGCCTTCCACTCCGCATGGTGGTGCCCAGCCTGTTATGCCATCATTATTACGGTCTAATTCCGGTTTGTTGGGTGGTCAAGGGGGTGCAATTCCTTCGCAGGCCGGTTTCTCGTCTCTGGGGTCACCGCGGGGTCAGCGTAATAACATGAATATGCTTGGGAGTGTCCCAAATGTTTCATCACTACTACATCAGTCTTTTGGAAATGGGGGTCCAAATTCTGGGCTCTCTGTTCCTGGGAGTTCTCAGAGGGGTATTATGGATAATAGTGCTGAATCTGATCCGCTCTCCGGTGTTGGAAATGGAATGGGTTTTAATACACCTTCCTCATCGTTTGTTCCATCAAATATCATAAGCACAAGTTCATCAGGTCAGGCTCAAGGACAACATTTTCCAAATCCTTCTGGAAACCAGATGCTACAAGACCAACAGCAGTCCCAACAAATTGACCCTCAGAACTTCCAACACAATCAGCAGACCTTGCAACAATTCTCTGCCTCTAACAATGTCCTTCATCGGCAGCACCAACAACAGCAATATCAATCACTTCGACCTGGATTAGGTGGCGTTGGACCTGTCAAGATAGAACCACAGGTTACAAATGATCAACATGGACAACCATCACAGCAGTTACAAGCTTTGCGAAACCTTGGTACAGTGAAATTGGAACCCCAGCAAATCCAGAGTATGAGAAACATGGGGCTGGTCAAAATGGAACCCCAGCATTCCGACCATTCGTTGTTTTTACATCAACAGCAGCAGCAGCAGCAGCAGCAACAACAACAACAACAACAGCAATTACTCCATATGTCCAGACAATCCCCTCAGGCAGCTGCTGCTGCTGCCCAAATGTTGCATCAACATAGACTTTTGCAGCTGCAACACCAGCAGCAACAGCAACTCCTGAAGGCTATTCCTCAACAAAGATCCCCTCTACAACCACAATTTCAACCACAGAGTTTGCCTTTAAGGTCTACTGTAAAACCAGTATATGAACCTGGGATGTGTGCCCGGCGGCTGACACATTATATGTATCAGCAACAACATAGACCTAAAGTAAGAAATATTTTTCCTGAGAAGAATCTTGTTTGACAAATAAATGTGGGCTCATCATAAACAGTGAACATGCCTAATTCTCTTGCAGGACAACAGCATAGAGTTTTGGAAAAAATTTGTGGCCGAGTACTTTGCTCCTAATGCCAAGAAGAAGTGGTGTGTTTCGATGTATGGAAGCGGCCGACAAACTACTGGAGTTTTCCCTCAGGTCCTTTGCTATGGGAATCCTTATACTGCTTGGGATGTTTCAATCTAGTCAACTTTTGACTTTAGGAGGCCCATATCTTCTGAATATTATTCAATTTTCTATTTCTTACATAGAAATATATAAGTTAAAAGTGAATTTTGTAGTTCGTTTATTGGGGATAATGTGTATCTTTTTGAATTGAACATTTGTAGACCAATTGACTTGCATACAAGAATCAATTCAAAACAATCAAAATGTTTTGGCTGTGGTGGCAGAAGTCGAAATGAATCAGTGACGAAAATTGAATTCTCATGTTTCGGAATGTTCCATCGATGTTTTAGAATTAAAGTTCAATTTTTTTCATTTTTTCCATTTTTCTTTTGGAAGCATTGCTGAGACATTTCGGTTTCAAGCTAACTGAAATAATGCATCGCAATACTATTTTGATCCTTGATTACGTAGCAATGTCAGACATCGGGATGAACAATGTAATTCTTGTTTACACTTGTGTAGGATGTATGGCACTGTGAAATATGCAACCGCAAGCCAGGCCGTGGATTCGGTACGTTTTGGATTTTGGGTTCTTGGATGTCATGTTATATTGGATGGTGTTGTGATGAGCTGGATATATGCCACTATTTTTACATACTGGTGTCTTGTTTATTTGTTGTCTATAAGTTCACTATAAACTCATATCTTGCCTTTTTTTTGACTTTGTTGCCATATTTTTTCCTTCACCTTTTATAGTTTTCTACTCCAATCTTTTAAATTTGTGAAGTATATTTTCCAGAGGCAACTGTTGAGGTTCTGCCTAGGCTTTTCAAGATAAAGTATGAAAGTGGTACCTTGGAAGAACTTCTGTATGTGGATATGCCCCGGGAATATCAGAATTCATCTGGTCAAATTGTCCTGGACTATGCAAAAGCTATACAGGAGAGTGTTTTTGAGCAACTTCGTGTTGTTCGTGATGGTCAGCTTCGGATAGTTTTCTCTCCAGATCTGAAGGTTACATACAAACAACATAGTTTTGTTTTTGATATCTTAAAATTTAGAATGATTATGCATTTACGCATCTCTGTTTCTTTCTTTCCTTTTACAGATATGCTCTTGGGAATTCTGTGCACGGCGTCATGAAGAGCTTATACCGCGAAGACTGTTGATTCCTCAGGTTATTTATCTGTATTTAGTTTTAAACTGTGTGTTTCGTCTATTAAGTTCTGAGGATCCTTTTTAGTCTGTATATTTGATTAGTTATCAGATTAGACTAAATTAAATTGATTTTTCAAGTTGTGAGTTTTTTTTCACCACCAGACCATCTTTCTTTGTTTGCAATTTCTGTTTTGTGTGGCCACAAAAGGGACTATATTTTTCATTTTCTAGTAATTAAAATTTATTAGTTAGTTATTCATTGTAAGCAAGTAAAAATTTATCTATCTGATGCTATTTCCTTGCTGCTGGCGTGTGAGATATCAGACATTCTAAGTAGTTATGGCATTGCCTTGTGCACTTTGTACTATGCTCTTGATGGCTAATGAGATTACAAAATGTTGTATGAATTAGTGCATCAGACCTAAAATCAATTGGCAATAAGTGAGAGACTTACAAGGCTTATATACCAGCTTGCAGGCTTTACAACAACCTAGACTTGAGAGACCAACATACTAGTTGAATGTTTAAGTATACATACTTGACTGCCATGGATATCACAAGTTGAACATACTATTATATAGTTGACTAGGGAACAAATGTGCCTCCCCAAACCAGTTTTGATGATATGTTTGAGCATCCCACTAAAAAAACCTATAATGACGATGAGTGTAAAGGTCCACATGGTTCAGAAGCAAGCTTGGGGGCTCTCAAGATTGACAATACTTCAGTGCGACAAGCTTTAACAGTACCTTTTTTTACATGTTTGCTGTCACTCGTCCCCGTTCTTTAATACATCACAGCTTTTGTACTTATGCAAAAACATTGTAAAGTCTTCTCTTCTTTTATGTTTTTTAAAAAAGGTATAGGAAGGCCTCAGATTATGATATTGACATTTTGATCTAGTGCTTTAGGATTTTACTCAGAAGGGGCTTGATCTGGTTATTGGATTTGCCATTAGTCTTATCTGAGTAATATCAAATGGCTTTTGGGCTTAGTTTATTTTCATGGTCTACAGATCAAAACTCTTAGAAATTGCATGGAATTGCTGAATGTTGTGTAGCGTATGACAGAATTTTAGTTTTCCTGCCTTTCCTATAATTAATACTTGACCTTTGCTGATTGTACTCTGCAGGTTAGTCAACTTGGGGCTGCGGCTCAGAAGTACCAGGCTGCTACCCAAAATGCGTCATCTAACTTATCTGTTACAGAGTTACAAAATAATTGCAACATGTATGTTCTCTGCCCTTATGTTACTTTGTTTGCATAATGTCTGAGCCTTTGAGTTTTATAATTATTTTTCAGATTACTCAATTTGTTTTGGTGTAATCCTCATACTTCCATTTTTGTGGATGCTCTTTACCAATGCACTACACCGGGGGGTGGGAGGG